AAAAAAGAGAGAAAAATATAAGGGGGTGTGTATTCTCTCCGCACACTGTGTATATATATAGAGAGAGAGAGAGAGAGAGAGAGAGAGAGAGAGAGAGAGAGAGAGAGAGAGAACAATTACATAAAATTAATCCATTCTCCAAAATGCTTAACCTCTGTAGATTGCAGGAATCATATAAAATATTTAATAATAATTCATATTATGATAAAATAAATAATTTTGTGTAATATTTTAATACATAGTTTTTTTTAGCAATATATAAAATATGTAATATTTAAATATAATTTTTAAATTATTTTTTTATATATAATTTATAAATAATGATATAATGACACACATGCTCTAAAACACTTAGCCACGTGTGTACAAAGGTGATGCAGGTTCAAATAAACTCGTAATGTTTTCTGGTCCTGTTCTACCCGTTTCTACCCGCTATTTCCTGTTCTTGATCTTTAGGCCAAAAATAAGTTTTTAGACATGTTAAATGTCACGTACTATGCTGATATAGTAAGAAACATGGAAGGAGAAGCAGAAGACATGATGGAGTCAGACATGAGCACTTATATATAAATGAATTACACATGCTCTGATGACTGAAAAAGGATGAAAGCCAGAAGGTGCAGTGGACTGGATACTAACCTGAGGCGTCAGGCCGTGGCAGATGTACAGGATGGGAATGTTGTCAGAGCCGGGACCTTGATCCACACACAGATCCGGCCTCAGCCTGTTCCTCAGCTACATGCAAACACACACACACACACACACACACACACACACACACAAAGATGCAATATATGAACTGGCACATCAGACCCATTTCACACTGCAAAACCGCAGAGGAGAAGATGGATTAAGAACTCAAAAACCATCTTTCTTCCTCTGTCTGCTAATAGCCAATGTGTGTGAAAATGCCCTGGAGCTCAGCTTTCCTTTGTCTTCACAGTGGAGCTGTTAATTATCCTATTCCACAAAAGAATGCCAATTAGGAAAAGCGCTCTGCCGGCCTTGCACCGTGATAAATGAAGAAAAGGCAGGCCTCGAGTAAGAAAAATAATATTTAGTATAAACTGTTTCTATAACTCAATATTATGAGAAACAATGTCATCTATCAGATTTGTCTAATAAACTGCTAATAAACTGCGCTGAGCTATGTCAAACTAATTTAATAAATTTGACTATGTTATTATATTGTTATGCCTTTAGAACGGATAAATATCTATTTATGGATTTGCACATTTGATTAATACAGAAAATGATGGTAACAGTGTTGACATTTGAAGACCTAATAAGCGAAACAAAACAAGATAAAATGATAATAAATGAGTGAGACTTGTCTTTGAAGAGCTCACTTCCTGAAAGGAGGATGATGAGAAAGTTTTTTTTGATTTATGGAATAGCTCATTACTTTAAAAAGGAGAGTAACAAAGCTGATGCATAATCTGGGGAAACAACTTCAAGTCTTTTTTTTTTAAATAAACACATTGTCAACTAAAATCTAAAAACATACACTAACGTAAAGCTATGCTCACCTAGGCTGCATTTATTTGATCAGAAATGTAATAAAAATAAAAATACATTAAAAAGGAATATTTTGAAATATTATTACAATTCAAGATAACTGTTTTAGATTTTAATATATTATAAAATATAATTTATTTCTCTGAATTTCAGTCTTGAAATCAATTTTGAAAACAATAGTTCTAATTAATATTTTTTTGTGGAAACCATCATACATTCTTTTAAGGATTCTTTGATGAACAGAAAGTTATAAAGAACAGCATTTATTTGAAATACAAATCTTTCATAACATTATAAATGTCTTTACTGTCACTTTTGATCTATTTAATGCAGCCTTGACAATAAAAGTATATGTGTATATACAGTAGATACTGTATAGTGTATATAGGATGTGTATATAGACAGAATAAAAACTAAAAGCTATGTGTGTGTGTGTGTGTGTGTGTGTGTGTATATATATGTCATACGGCTCGTTCACTGACTCGCAGGCCGTCTCAGTGATCAGCCGTAAAACAGTGATTCTGTCCTAATTCCCTTGCATATTAATGGTGGAGTTCCCTTTAAAATCTTAAATGATTCCCTTTGAGCTAAATTATTAAATTATTGACCTGTTTACCCTACAATATATATATATATATATATATATATATATATACTGTATATATATATAGACACAGATACACACACACATACATATTTGCTAATAAATACAATGAATATATTCTAAAATTGTAAAAATTCCACTAAAATTAAAAAAAAATATATATATATAAATTTTTTTTTTGGATTGATGTGAAAAAATGTCTATTAAGACATTCAAAATTGGCACTATGTATTCTTTAGGTAATTATTTTTACATATTTGTACAGTACTTGAGGGACACAAATGGCATCAGTTTTGTATATGGACCTTAAAGGGTTAGTTCACCCAAAATTGAAAATTAGCTTGTGTTTTACTCACACAATATTACACGGCTGTCCCGGAGCTGTGTAAGGCACGTTTTATTATGGACGTGCACGCTTTTTTATATTTTATATATTTAAAGCAAGTTTTTTGGGCAGTGTAGAGTAGGGCTTGTTGATTTTCATTTCTCCGATCACAAATGCAGACATAGTTTTATATTTACATGGCGCGGCGCGATGCAACGCGTAAAAAGACAGTATAAGTCATTATAATCCATAATTATGTCCCCACTGGATGCAACGAATGCCTTGTTTATAATGGGTTTTCATGTTTTTGAATCATCGCTCCGGCCTGACAGGGCATCATCACAATATGGTGAGGGCCGTAACATTTCCGTCACACGCTTGAGGTATTCGGCCAATCACAATGCACTGGATAGCTGGCCAATCACAGCACACCTCGATTTTTTAGAATGATGAGCTTTGTAAAAATCTACGCGTTTCATAAAGGCGGGGCATAGAGGAGAAACAATAATGTACAGTATGTGGAAAATAATGTGTTTTTTTAACCTTAAACCACATAAACACATTTCATTACACCAAATACACAAAATAATGTTCTTTTTAGCAACATCATATGACCCCTTTAATATAACTCTGACTGGATTCGTCTGAAAAAAGAAAGTCATATACACCTAGGATGCTTTGAGGGTGAGTAAAACACAGTCTAATTTTCATTTTTGGGTGAAGTAACCCTTTAAAGCAAAGACTGTTATTTGATGAAAAGTGGATACTCACTACACCATAAGCGATGGTCTCTGTGTAGGTTCTCATCTCAGAATAAATATTCTTCAGGAACCAGCTGAAGGGTTTGCAGCGGAGTCTCTCTCTGAGAGCTTTTCTTTCTCTGATATCACCAATATCGATCCCTGAGTCCTGCACACACAAACACCCACAAGCACATGCAGTTGTGAGAACACAAGAATTAATTTATAGAGTGCAGAATCAAACAGCTAGAACATGATGCTCAGGAATGCGATGGAAGAAAAGCTCTTATTGAGTCAATGTACATTTATCTCAGTCCTTCATTTTCAGGCCAGTGGTGTAGCAAGTCAGCCTCGGGCCCATATGCAAACAAAATGTAACGGCCCCCCTCTGTTGTGATATTAATATATTAACATTTTTATTAAAAATTTAATGACAACGGCGTGTCAGTTCTAGGATCACTACAGTCTATGCGCATCTTCATCATTATGACATTGCATTGTAGATCTATTTTTTTTAAAAATTGGCAACTGATTCGACTCTGGCTTTGGAATTTCAGAATGATCAGAGCACCATTTCAGATGCGATGCTGAGTCCTAAGATTATTCCTGTTATACAGTTATGAATGAATTATTTTTTATTCCTAATAAATTTACAAGGAGTTTCTTTTGTAAATATGTTTCCATCACAGTTTATGTGCATTTTATTTTGTTGAAAAAAAGTATCCACCTAAGCGACTGTACACTGTAAAAAATGCTGGGTTAAATACAAGCCAATGCTGGGTAAAATAGGGACAAACCCAGCAATTGGGCTGTTTTGACCCAGCGGTTGGGTTAAATGTTTAACCCAACCTTCTGGGTAGTAAACTGGGTCAAAACAACCCAATTGCTGGGTTTGTCCCTATTTTACCCAGCACTGGGTTGTATTTAACCCAGCATTTTTTAGAGTGTACGAGTTAAATTTTTTATGTAGAGATTTTATTCTTGTACAATATCCCAAAATGTGCAGACGTAGACTAATTTTTCAGAAAAGCCTATGTATAAGCTTAAATGCAACCCATTTAAAATACTGTATTACATTATTTCAACAGCCAAACTGCATGCATAATTTTCAGAAACCCACTTCACAAATGACAGAAAAGCGAATACCGGTCAAATCCAATAGATCCTGGCATGGACCATTTTTAGCGGCATTTATTCAACTTCTTAACAATTTTTTTCAAGTGCATTCAACATGGATATAGCAAATAATTGATAACATTATTGTTATTATAGTCCTTTCCCTGAACATATGAACACAGCTCATAACAAAGATCTTTCATTGGTTTGGTGTATGAGATTGGGCATGCCCTAAATGAGGTGCTGGATCTGGCTTGTTCCGGCACAAATTTAAGGCCCGGGTATAAATCACTGTGCAAATTTCGCTCTGTCTCACTCACAGATGCGCGCACGAGCCTTTCCTTTGCCATGAGCACGAAAGGGGATGCGTTCGGCGCGTGCACACTATCTAGTGGACTTTTGTTTTCAAGCACTCAATTCACTCTCGTATGCGCTGTTGCACGCGCATTGTCCTTGCGGTCACAGAAATTGGGCTGTACGTGGACGGGGTGTGCGGATGTCCGTGAATGCTCCTGATGATGAAAATTACTGTACGCAATGCGGACGGTGCGCTTACTCGGAACGGCTGAAATATACTTTGGGCTTAAGCCTGTGATAGTGGGCCCCCAATTCACCCAGGCCCATATGCACGTGCATACCCTGCATACCCAAACGCTACGCCCCTGGTTCAGGCACTTACAGTGGCTTCAAGTGAAGTGATGCTATATGCTGTGGCATTTCAGGGCGTCATGGGAAGAATATGTACAGCTCAAAAGTGAGAGCTC